CAGGACGAAAAGGAGGCTCGTTACGTCAGAGTAGCTAATTGAACTGTTATCGCCGCGGCGCATCGAATTACGATCCGCTTAATTGCACACTTTGCGCCGCGATATACGCGCGCACAATCGAGCCTGTCTCTTAAATACAAAGAGAAAGCGGCTGCCTTGCATGATTAATCGTCCCAGCGCACGGAAAAATTCATTAAAACCGGTCCTCGGTGACGAGACGCGACGGATGACGATACAGTCGATTTTATTTCACCGCCTAACTATTCCGTGTTCTTTTTTCCTTATCGCGTTTAGCCAGGATACACGCTAAATACCACATTGTTATTCACAGACGCGAGCGAACAATAGGATTTTCATTTAGTCTCGCGTTTTCATTAATTCAGGACGTAGATTAATTAAGTCGATGTCATTTATGGACGTGGAGGAGCTTGTAATCCCGTGTAGTGCTCTGTTTGCAGCTGATTGGGAAATTAATTAAACGACCTCGTGTAGCGGCGATCAAAAATTTGTCGGGATCAACGAACGTTTGACGCGGACAATCGCTATTAATTAGCCCTGGCAAGTGATTGCTCGACTTCTTGTTCCATTCGTTTCATTTATTCTTTCTCGGCGACGCGCGATCGCGGTATATCCATAAATCGGCGTGTCCGCGACACCCGGTGTCGCGCCCACGCGGGATTCAACGGTTATTTGAAAACCGCCGTTGACACCAAAGGAAAATGAGGTCGCTGGTAATTAATTTACCTTTGACTTTTGCCGGCGACACGCGCGCCCGATTCATCCGCCGCGAAATTGGTTTTCGTTGGCGACGCAACGGGACCGTTGTTTGTCATTTGTTCGGATTAATGTTTGTCGTCGCGAATCGGAACTGGACCAGCGGAAATTTGTCCGAATGAGCAACGGTCTTCATTAACGGTTATTGCGAATAAGATATTGAACTAATTATGCACGGGCAATTAATGAAACATATACCATTATGTGTGTCCTTAATTTTGAAAATGGTCTGAACGATTTCGAGCAACAAAAATCATATTTCCTTATAAGTGGCACGCAATGTTACACAGTCATAATAAATTCTTATTTTTCAAGACTAAACATTTTGTAAAATATTTTGTTAAATAGTATACAAATATTTTTAATCTATTTAAACACAAACCTTTAAATTATTTCGTATTTAAAAATATATGACATAGTATACTTTCAAAATTAACAGCATATAATGAATTATATTGGATATAATTTTGATAATCGTGGAATTGTAATTTATTGAAATTTGTAAGGGTATTTGGCGTCAAAGGTTTTTAGAATTCTTCTGTTTATGTCGATTATGTCGTTTATGTCGATGTCGATTAAATTCAGTGCAGAATTTTTCGTAGAAGAAGAATAATTTTAGTATAATTTCTCTATTGAAAATGTATGAATAATTAACTACGTATTTTAATTTTAGAATTTTTTTAGAACTTTGCAAAAATATGAACGATACTAAACATTCAAAAATTTTGTTCACTTGATTGTTTAAACGACCGATAAACTATGTTCAACAAATATCTACTATTTAATACAGTGTTTAATGTGTAAACCAAGCTATTTATACCAAAGAAATTAATAAAGATTTCTACTTCTTTGTAATAATTACTTGCTTGTTTCACTACGCGTGGAACGAGAAGCGGAAAACAAAGGCTAAAGAATGAAATTAAAATTCTGCGGCTTTATGAAATTGAATTAAACTTCACAAAGTCCCTTTGAACAATGCCTGGAAAACAATTTTACTTTGTGCAAGGAGCAACGGAAACTGGGTCACACTAGTATTCCGCTATTTAAATGAAGAAATGCGTAGAACTCCACGAGTTGACGAAATAGGAAAACCAGCACAATAATTCAGGGTAAAAATAATCTCCAACAATGTTTCCTCAGCAGGAGGAACGGAATAATTTTCCAGTGTGAGAAAAGTCAAGCTTTTTATCCCAGTTCGGAAATTAGCATGCGGCTCGGTCATTGTTTCGCGTTCTCGGGCGGTTTCAACTAGCAACAGCGCCATTTTTGCATAACCCGGTGAAAGCTGCATTCAACCCGAGCCTCCTCCAATTTCCATCCAGTCGATCTACTTTTTTTGTCCACGTTTACGCACAATTTTACTGCCGTATCGCGTGTCTCGCAGAGGTAAGGATCGTTTAACGGTAAAACAGAAACAATTAAGCGCCATAAATCGACGAATAAATCAGTCAGCGCTGAAGAAGCTATTGAATCACAAAGCTTTCCTCGAGACTTTATTAATACATTACAATATGATATCCGCTTAATGATTTTCTCACATTATAATATTATATTCCAATTTCCTTAATCAATATTATCGTATCGTTTAATCAATGTTATTAGATTCAATTTAATGTTGTACTAATTATTCAATAAACTTAATTACTGTTGCACTGTTTTCGTATTAATACATTATAATGCAATTACTTTTACTTTTCATACAGTATTTTACAAACAGTACGCATCTCAATTTTATTCAAATTAAATTTTACATGAAACGTTGATGAATAAACTACATTAGCATCAATTATAATGTAATAGAATATGTTGTCATAGATTCATTTAATTCGATTACTTGTAAGAACTTTTATCTGCGAAATTAATAAACACGAAGATGACGTTAGTTTCGAGTGTAACCACTGATAACACGGAGTGTATGATCTAACAATATTAAAAAGAACAAAACTAGCAATGCCACTTGATGCAGTAGTTACTGGAAATAGCAGTCGATATCGATATAGACAACTTTTTTCCTACTGACTTCATGCATACGCATTCGAGAAGATACGAAAATAGGTCGCAGATAACTCGACCAGCATGGTTCCTTATAGAAACTTTACTAAAAGCTATTACGTTTACTGGGTCACAGAAATTTTTAGAAGCTGCTTGACTTAAGGTCCACACAAACTTCTACGAAAATAGGAAAATATGTCACGCTGAGAATTTTAACCGCAATTTTGGTACTTTACAGTTCTAGGAGCAAACACCCATTAACTAATGAATTTCGAACGACACGAAGCTTTTGAATCTTCTTTGCATAATCTGAAAATATATCATTACAAAGAGAAATTTATATGCACCACTCTTTAAATAACACTTATTTAAATTCTACATTTAAAATAAAGGGAAGAGAAATGTAGAACGAACGAAGTGTAGAACTATACATGGAGTTTCATTTAGCGCCATTGAATTGCTAATTCCGAGAACTCGGTACATGCGAGGTTCAGCGTTTACATAAATGTAAAGCGAAGATGTTCGAAATTTTTTGTAGAACTACTAAAACAGACAATACTCAAATTTCAAGATACTCGTTACCCATTACGAGCAGAAACTTATTAAACATTGAAATATAAATCTTCGTCTATAATTCATTTACAAAGAAACTATTTTAAAAATCTATTTTCTCATCTCCCTATTTTTCAAAAGGGAAAAAGAATATATCAATTTATTTGTTATTTTAGTTAGAGTACCCATTTCATCTCTTCACGGTATCATTCGTGTTTCAAACGAAAAGTGCAGAACCTTGTTCGAAGTAATGTTTATCAGTCAAATAACAGCGTCCCCTGGAAATAAAGTTCGAGGGAGATGTAATTCCTTTTCCGTAACGCGGAAAACTCGGCAAGGTCGACAAAGTCCACCCACCATCGATGGGACGACACGGAATTATTTCGAAATAGGATTGGAATATGGGTCACCGTTTACACATCGCCGTTCCGGAATACGAATGCCGCAGTTTCACCGGGGGAAATTCTTCTCGCGTCCCCCGGCTCTCTCGGATTCTTGCATCCTGCAACGCTCTGCCATAGATCGGCCCGTATTGCGGCTTCGTTGCGCCAGTTTCCGCCCGCCCTTTCCGCCAATCGAGACGCGTAAAAATATCGTTGGCCACTGTCCAAACGCGCGATCTTCTTCGCGTAAACATTCGAAAAACCGTTCGCGGCTGCACGTCGCCTCCACGTGGTATCAGGAAAATCGAACACGCCAAGAGAATTAACCCTTTGCCTTATATTTAACGCGTTGAATGTCATGGAGGTCACTGGTGACCTTCGACTAAATTGAGTTATTGTAATTCAGTCGATTAAACTTTGGTTACTTGCACATGTTTTTGTATTATAAATAGAGATATATAGTGCAGCGACATTTGGTAGGATAAACGTGTAATAGTAATAACGGAATGTAATTAGATAATTTCGTAGTATATATTATATATAGTTTCAATTTTGTGCATTTTGCTATGTGAAATTGTAATGCATTCTATGTGTTAATAATATATTAGATTTTGAATAGAATATATGAATATTATTAAATTCTTTTCAATTATAGTGAAATATTATTCTTCTGTTACCAGTTGTTATACTTTACAAAAATAGGCATTTGTATAGCAGAACGTCAGTTTATTCAAAGCATTAAAGAATTAGGAAAAACACAAACTCAAAATTTTATGTGCATATTTATGTTTCAGGGAATTTTAAATTAAATCGTCGACTGTAGGTTTAAAATTAAACTAACGAATATTTGGTTTACAATATTGTTTCATCGATTCGTTCAATGCCTATATCAAACTCAGTTCGTAATACTTTTAAAATATTAATTTGAGAAAAGGTATAAAGAGGGATCTATTTATAAAAATTCTCGAATGATTCAATCGTTCGAAAACTTTTGCTTAATTGCAAATTGTACTTATATCTTTCAGTTTATTTTTTAATTCCGTCAATTTTTCGAATTCCTGCATTATACTTACATTGTAATGTTTCTAAAATGTTTATCTCGGAAAGAGTGTGAAGAAATTGAGTTCTAGAAATTTTTATTAAGATTACACCACCGTAAGCTCCCAGTCTTTTTCCTTCGCTCTCGGGTTTTTCCTTTTCCACCGGAAGCGTAGAAAGATGCCAATATAGAACTGGAACGATGAAACATCGGACGACCAGTGGATACGGATTTCCTTGAGTTTTTGATCCTTTTTACCCTTTTTCTTTGGCTGATGCACGATACGGGTCACAGAGACGCCGCTAAATATGGGTCGTCGCGATGCTGTTTTCATGAACCCCGTTGTTTTTGCGATTGTATATTGTTTACACTTGACAAATGGAGTTCTGTTGAATCGTGATGAAATATGGAAACAACGAAGCCATTTGTTTAATTTTCGAAGCTGAAACGCTTCAGATAATTTTATATAAATATTCTTAAAAGCATGAGTTTGTTTTTTATTTTTAGTAATTAATCTTTCTGGAATAACTTCTCAAGATGAACCTGTAATCAAATTTTTAATTTCCTTCTGGAAATTTTCATAACTTAATTGAGACTTTACAAACTCTTTGCCGTATGATATTTGTCTTGATTAGACTCGCTACAGTTTTAGTAGCCATAATTCTTTAATTAATTAATTTCATCCAAAAAGAAACACAGATATCTAAACGTAACTAAACTATCAAATTGTATATGTTTAATAGCTGTTATACTAATTCATGAACATTTGTTTTAAATAGAAATAATTATCATTTTGATATATATTTTCAGTGTCTCAAATATTATTGTTTAAATTTGAATACGAAATTAATATAAATAATAAGGTCATAGTAAAATAACTTATTAAAATGTAGAATGCACGATTTACAGATTAATTGTTATCTACGTTAAAGAAAGTAACGCTCATAATAAATCACTTACTTTCCATAAAGAAATGGCTCGGATCATGCGTATACACGCATAACTTCGACATTTCGGGACCCATGGTGTGTCTCAATTCCATTCCACTTCTCGGGAGGGTGGAAACCCTTCTTAGCAACGGCGCTATACAAACATTACAACTGCTTCAAGACAACAATATTTCGAATCCAGTAAAAGCAAAGATAAAGCACATGCTTTCGAAATAATGGAAATGTAAAGAAATCGACGTGAAAACGCAGTCTTGAATATTGCGAAGCTATGCAAGCTGCGAAATATTTTTGCAACATTTTCTGAAAAAAGCAGGAAGATTCAAAGCAAGCAAACATTATTTACAGTAAACTTCTCCCAATCTGTTGTACAAATGTTTGACAAGGAAAATATCGTAAGGAAAAGGAAGTTTTAATAAAATATAAAAATGTTAAGGAACTATCTATCATTATGTTGCCATGTGACTTTTAAAAAATTGTTTGATAAGATGTCCTATAATTGCAAAGAAATATAAAAGCAACTTTTTTAAAATTCTCTCCACGATAAAGTTAGATTTACATTTCAAATTTAATATTTTTATTCTGTAAATATCTTACACGATATTAAACATTTCGATTTTGATTAGAGAAATCATATATAAATAAGTGAACCCCAATTGAATACAAGTGAATACAACAAAAACTAATATTCTAATTTTTCTAACTACTATCGTTCGGACTAAGATAAAGAGATGAAATTTAACATAAATATTTCTCTTCAACAAATTATCGAATATAAAATAACAGTTAATCGACAATAAATTGATTTCAAGACCTTTTACCTCTTCATCTCGCTACACCATTCGCTCACCAAAAAACCGATAAATTCACTTATTGTTAGAAACTCTCATCTAATTAGCGAGACGAGCAAAGTCTGACTAAGTCGCAAGTTGAAGTCAATTTACACGGAGTATCGTGACTTGTTTAGCTGAGAACGGTTTTCTCCATAACCAACCTTTCGGTGGAGACAAAAAGATGAGGTTCCTGAGCAAGTTTCAGACACAAAACAAAATTACCGTAAACTATTCATGTAACTTGTTTCAAGGATATTTTTTAACTTCGTCATCCGGTCGCATCATTCACTCGTCAAAAAAACTGATGAATTTACTCTGCTTTATCCCAGCTTGATTAGTGGGAAAGACGAAGTCCGATTAAATCACAATTGCAGTTAATCTAAGCGAAGTATCGTGGCTCGAATAAACTGAGAACCGCTGTCGCAGTCGCAGATATGAGCCACAAAACACGGAAACACGTCCGTGAGTCTATCTGCTTCGCGCCGTGTGGATCGTGGATGCGGCCGTTGTCTACTTCGACGTCGTGCACATGCAGCAACTTCACACACGCCACGGTCCCATTCATTTCCACAACAATAATTGCACCGAGTCACTCCGATTGAATTCACGCCCATTCTCATCGCATTACAGTTACTTCCATTTGCATCGGACAATGAGGAGCGACTTCGCATCGTAATTCACGGTTTCTGTGACTCCCCAGAGTCGAATCCGTTGTGTCCGCGCTTAGAAAGCAGTTTCGGGAATGCGTGGACATTTATCATCCATCTTGCCGCGCCGAGATTGCCTTTCATCAATCCTACTGAATTCTTTGTTAGACGGTTGCCTCTTTTGCGCGAAGCTTCCATGTGACAGCAGTTATTGTTCCCGGCGAAACAGGGAAGTTGCTTAAATGTTTTATCCTAGTATCTACTTATAATGCGACACCAAGTTTTTAATCAGTTCTTGTAGCTGCGGTAATATTAGCTTCAATAATACTCTCCTCTTAAAACTTTTAATACGTTAAAGTTTCTGTGCAAATACGTTAATAATATTAAAATTCTCCTGTTAATATACAGAACATGGTATTACAAATTTTAATGTAACTTCATAACGTTCATTTCAATAATCTTTAATTAAAAACTTTCTTCCCGAAAAAAGAAATACATTTTTATAATTTCAAGTTCCCCTCGGAGAATATTAAATTAACAGATCCATTCCAAAAAATTAATTAATTAACGGGATGCAGCTTTAAAGCTGCGGAATTAAAGGATTGCACAACATTTCCCCAGAGCGTCAATGACGAATCAATTCGTCTTTCAGTAGCCGAACACGGTAAAGCAATTACATTAATGTCTACAAATCGTGCGCAATAGTCCCAATAATCGGTTTTAACGTGACTCTCGCCTGGCCAGCGCTTCAGGATCTACATATGGAAGCTACATCAAAATTCTGTGCACAATGAGCCAGCATTATCTACCGAAAGTTGTATTTGAAATTCGACGCGAGATGCATCACAATCGCCGATACTAAATTTCCCACACGCGGTAGAATAAAGTCGTCCTTCGGCTCGACGGGTTCCATCGAATTCGTTCCTTCGTTTAATCGCCCGACACGTTGCCCGCCCATCGTCTGAGCGCAGCACGTTAAACATCCGCGCCGTAACTTACCGACACCCTTTTACTCCTATTCGAACCGGTTAACTCGCAATATTACATTTCCATAATTTATCCGCCGCCCGAACTTTCCTGCGCGATCTAGTTTCCCCAGGTTCCATTAACTTACGTCTGTGTAGTACTTGAAGACACGAATTGTCTATCTTGTAATTGCATTTAATTAAGGTGTCTGAAAAAGCTTCGCGCGCTTCTTGTGATATTCTACAAGTAGGTCTGTTTCCTTTTGGTGCAAATTTAATAGGGGAAAGTATTTTGTTTAAGCAGGGTAGCTTTTTCCTTTCGCATCTATTTCACAGTGGCTTTTTTCTTTTGAATCTATTTTTAGTTTGTAACTTTGAAGTGAATTATAGATAGGAAAGATTATATTTGGAATTTGCGATAAGATGTTTAGAATATCGAATTTGTAAAATATGGTAAGATATTAGAGTGAAAGATTTATTATGAAATATTGATAAAATTGTGAAATTTTATGAATTTCTTCTTTAGTTGATTAATTACTTCAGCATAGTGTAAATATATTAATGGTTGAATATAACTTGTATGTTGTATGTTTAGATGTGATTATTTTGATATTTATATGCACGACTGATACTAATTATTTAATAAAAGTAAATAAATGTTAACTCTCCGTGAATATTCTCAATAGTCAAGTAAATGTTAGTATTATATTATTCTCAAAAATATCAATAAAAATTTCGATTTTATAAGACTATTTCATAACCTTCTATTATCACACTACTACTTTCATCTCCAGAATGCACAAAAAGAACAATAAACCGAAATAATATTAACTAACTTTACATAAATAATTAAAATACAGGAATCAATGTTTCAATCGTCAAACTTTTCTCAATAATTCTACGATATAAAACGTAGAATTAAAACGATAAGGATACCTATCCACAACCTCTTGACAAATGAATGAAAACAACAAAAATGATCAGGATCAAACCAACGGAGATCCTATAAACAATTCGTGTTATTCCAAGTGGAACAGTATACGGTAGAAATGGCAAGAATCATTGAAGCAGCCAGCGATCTTTCAATCAAATTCGATCCACTCTATCCGTGATCGACAAGCCCACTAAAGGGAACCGCTCGGAGTCGGCGCAGAGGAGAGACACGGCAAAAGAAAATGGGTGAACAAAGGCGCGGCACGTAATGAGGAAAGACCATCAACATCGTAACTACGATGCACTTCCTGCGAGCAGCCGTATTCCTGTTGGCCGTACAAGGAGGTTGAGTCATGCGACAACGTAGGAGGAGCAAGATGGACCTAACCCACTGTCCGATAAGACGATTCCTCCTCCGTTAGTAACGCGACGCTCGGTGTGACTGTTCTCTTCCTAGAATCAAAGCCATTAATAATCCGTCTCGGTTAGAATAAGTTCATGCCCGACGATATGATACGGTGCTCGATCATCGATACACGATTTCATTCGATTTAAAAGCGCCGATCGCTGAAATAGATGATCCAATTATCGGACATGGAAAAAATCGAGGAAAAAGGTTTATAAGCAGATACTTTTTGTAATATCTGAAGCTGTCCCCGTGAGGTGATTAATGATTAAGGTTGTTGATTTTCCTAGTTTTTTGGTGTAACAACTTTCAAACGTGATGTGGATGTTTATAAGAAGACTATTATACAAATTATATATTTAAATTTGAGAATTGCGTATTTGAATTTTTTAGGTATCGTGAAAGTATTTGTTTGTTCATTTAATGAACAATTTCGAGTTTTTTTTATTGATTTTATTTATTTAGGAATGCTATGAAGTAAATAGCTGCTCGATAATAGGGACTTGGTTGATACCGGGGTCATTGACTTCATATGACATCACTGGTCTGCGAAGATCTATGACACTTAAGTAATTGAATAAATGTAGCAATTGTTTGGGTTAAAAGTATGATTGAAATAAATGAAGTACTAATCCTATTAACGAGCTTAGAAACTGTACATCTCAGCCTTTATCGATCTTTTCACAAATAGAAAAAAATAATTGTGCCTGATTTTACTAATATGTCAATTTTCGAAGAAAGTTAACTTATTACTTCAGAATAAGATTAATTTTATTATTTATCTCATTAGTTCAACACAATATTTTTGTCTGATCTTGTAAAAATCGATAACTCCATATCGTTTGATTGCATCACAATATTATGATGCTTCAATATTTCTCACGATTTTCCAATACAATTTTTTTACTTCTACCAAAAATATATCAAACAATGGTAATATTTTCCATTTTAATAGCATTCCTTGTAAAATTTACTAACACAAATTTAGTAGTAATAGTAATAGTTTCATCCAATGAAATAATATTTTTGATAATTCTCAAAATACCAACACAATTTTTCCACTTTTACTACAAAAGTTTCAAATTGAAAGGACAGTACCACGTAACCAAAAAATAAAGAAGAGAAGCAGATTATGTCAAGAAGACATCAAATAATAAGATGTTATCCACCAAAAGCCATGTCCCTCGAAAGAAAATTCATTTGAGTTCCCCCCGTTCGATCAAGAAAATTTGAGGAAGCGTCTTGTTCTTCAACCCTTTCCGATTATCTCATTGCTCTCCGGCGGGCCCGCAGTTAAGTCGCGAGCCAGACTTCCTTTTGCAAACGACAGATGTCGAGACAGGAACGAGCGA